ATGTACCCCATTTTAAAATTGGATTATTTGGTATTTTGGTGTCTAATTTCTTGAGTTCTTTATATATTTTAGAGCTCAGCCCTCTGTCTGATGTGGGGTTGGTGAAGATATTTTCCCATTCTGTAGTCTGCCATTTTGTCTTGTTGACTAAAACCTTTGCCTTACAGAGCTTCACAGTCTCAGGGGGTCCCATTTATTCTGGAGGCATCTTCATCCCTGACTTCAAGCTCTATTATAGAGCTACAGTAATTAAAAAACGTTTGATATTGGCATAAAAACAGAAAATGGATCAATGGAATCAAATTAAATTAAATTTGATTTAAATTTAAAATAATTAAAACCTGCATACTAATCCACACACCTATGGACTCCTGATTTTTGACAAAAAAAAAAACCAAAATTATACAAGGGTAAAAAGAAAGCATCTTCAACAAATTATTCTGACGTAACTATTTGTAGAAGAATACAAATAGGTCCATATCATTCCCCATGTACAAAACTCAAGGACAAGTGGATCAAAGACCTCAATATAAATCCAGTAAAACTGAAAATTATAGAAGAGAAAGTGGGAAGTAGCCTTGAATACATTGGCATAGGAAACTACTTCCTAACTATAACACCAGTAGCACAGACTCTAAGAGTAATCAGTAAATGAGCTGGCTTTTAAGGAAAGTTCTAGTCTGTCTCCTGAGTAACCAGTCCACTCACCGTCAACTCCCATTTTTTCCCTCTGGGGTCCAGAAAACTGCTAAGCAGAGAGTAGAAGCACAAGGAGTTCTGCAATGGCAGCTGTCATCATGTGTGGTAGTATTCAATGCAATTCACACACTGACCCCAGCCTCATGATTCAACATAATTTCCTAGTGTTTGTGATTCAGCCTCATGTGTTTTGGGTTTTTTTTTTCTATAGTAGTCTGTTTCCCTCCCTTTAATCTTACTTGTTAAGACAGATTAAAAACTGATTTAGACCATTTTACTTTTAATTTGGGTGTAATTATGGGCATCATGATACATTGATATTATTGGAAATGGCAAAATATCCCCAGGGTACCTTGAATGTTGATGAGCCATTACCACAAAGTGAAACTGACAAAGACTCAAACTGTATCCACCAATCTCTGCTGTTGCCTGCTCTTTTGGCAAAATAACATGATGAAATAATCAATGTTTCCTATTAAATTTAGATCTGTAGTGTTTGATGTGAGAAATTATGTTTTATATAATGGTCACAAAATGAAATTCTAAATAAAGCTATAATTAAAATGATGAATTCATCTTGAGGCACACAAAGTGGGAGAAATTAGGTGAAAATGGAGACCATTACCCAAATGACCTATAATGCAATGATGATTTGAATATTTGTATCCACACATAAACAAATAACATAGCTTTTGACAAAGGCTGGCTAGAAGAGCTGCTAAAACAAAGGCCCAAGTTCAAAATTTCAAGTTTCAGAATTTCTCCCACTTAGTTCAGTACAATGGTGTGGGGGAGATTTTTCTAAACAATTTAATGCTGATTGTGCCATTTGACATCCGAAGAGTTAGCTATGCAGCTCATAACTCATCCTTGGTTGGATAGGATTAGCTCTATATTTTTGAAACTGTAAAGACCATTTTCTCAATCATACTAGCAGCAAATAAATAGAGTAAAAGCAAAATGAATGCAGGCTTGCTATATACTCAATCCCAGAATGCTGGCAAGTCATTCTTCCTTAGGTCAAAAGTAAGTTATTAAAAAGGAAACAAAAGATACCCTCAACAGCAGATGCTAAAAGTCACTCATAAAGCACCCATAAAATTTCCTTCCAGAAAACACTTTCTTTGAATGCATTCTGTGACTTTAGTCATTTGCCAATAATTGCCTAAGTGAGACACCAGGTGCGTGAGACATGGCTCATGCTTTCCACCAAGGCAGGACACATATGCTAAGTTTAACAATAGACTTTCCCTAAAATGCAGAGGAAGTGACAAACTTTTTTTTTTTCAGGATAAGTCTTGGGCCTGGTTGATGCTCAAGCGTGCCAGTGCATGCCTCCCATGAGCTGAGGAGATGAGGAGAGGGCTCCTGGTGGCTGATGGATGCAAACTGAATGCAGATTGGGCTCACCTTTATCTGTTTCCATGTTCACAGAAGAGGCAAGCACAGAGGGGGTGTTGATCAGAAACTATGTTCAGCACTAATTTTAGCCTGGGTTACTACAAAAATTGGTGGAAATTGGTTTGTTGAGTCATTAACTCATTCAACAGATGTCTTACTAATTCATCCAACAAATGTTTTATCAAGCCCCAAATTAGGTGCTGTCTGGAGGACTTGGATTTGAAGACACAAATAAAACATGCTCTGTGTCCTCAAATAGCTTGAGTAGGAGAAGAATGACCAGGCTCACCGAGGCTCAAACTGACCTCTGGCCACTCTGTGCGTCTCACTCGTCTGGAGACTTTACAAAGAAGGCCGGTCATCTGCCCACAGACTCAACATTGGAATGTGTCTTAACTTTTGAAGAGGGAATAAGCAACTCATCACCTGTCACAAAGTCACCTTTCTACCTCTCAGTCTCCTTGTGCCCTCCCTGTCACATCCCACCTAGAGCTCTCTGCCTCCAGGCATTGGCTTAGGGCTTTCTGCGGGCCCACTGTAGTTCCACTCTTGCTGTCACTTGTACCTTCTTGGTCTTCGGTTGTTCACTGAGATGTTAATGCCTCCAAGAAGTTATTTCCCCAAGAGGCCCTCCAATGTCCACTGTGTCTTTCTCATTACTCTATGTTATCTCCGTCTAGTTTGTTCCCTGACTTTTCTGAGTCTGATTTGACCTGGTGTCCCATGTTTCATCATGGGACCCCTCTGGCTCCAATTTGACACTCTTTAAAGGTGCCATCTCCTTGCTTGGGCCATTGTCATGTATTCTAGGGGGATGATCAGACAATCAACATACAGTTCGTAGAACAAACAAGGTGCACTGAGAAATCTTCAGCCCAAAGTGTTAACTAAATAAAAGTCGTTTGTCAGATCAATTAGTGCAACTGACCCTATTAGGGTACAATATGATTTCCTTGTAACTCTGAACAATTGAGAGTTACGATCACTTGATCTATTCAACCTTTAGGAACTTTTCCTAGAATGTTCTTCACAAATTGGAAACCTCAGGGCTATTAATTATACCATCAGACAGCAGGGAAGCCAAGGATGAGAAGTCAATGAAAGGAATTCTTATCATAAGCGCCCTCTCTAATTTGGGGAAACTGAAATCCCTGTATGTTTTTTCAATAAGCACTCCGTCAGAAGCCTGCTTATCCTGACAGGCTTTGCTCTTTCATGAGTGCAGCAAGAACAACCCCTGGACCCTGGCCTGCTATAGTCAAGTATGAAAATGTGAATTCCACGGGTCACTGTTTTTGCAGCCGCCAGATGTGGATGAAAGAGGAAGGGTGTTTTATTGTGTTTTTTCAAGAAACAGAGAAGGGTCTGTCCTGAAATGGGCCTGCTTCCCTCCCACACAAGTGGCCACCATGTGGCCAGAGGACAGCTAGCTAATTTGCAAGATTAAGCCTTTCTAAATATTTGGAATTGGTCTCTTCTGTCTTCAGCTAATAAAATAGATTTTTGCTCCAAAATGGATTTAGGAAGCAGGCACAAGAGCTTCTAAGAGCTTGTTGGCAAGTTACCTGTTAACAAGGTCCATCTGTCAAATGGATGTGTGATGGGCAGGCTCTGTATGGATCGTCTCATGCTTGACCTCCTAAGGATGTCTGCCTTCAGGCCCGGGCTCTGCCTCAGGAAGATGGTGCCCATGATGGCTTGTGCTGAAAGACTCAGGACATAAACTGTCTCTGCTACAAAACCATGAGCTAGAAGTGCACGAAGGAAAATAACATACTAAAAGAAAAACTATGCACCAAACAAATTCCTGTGTGCTGCAAATATCTATTCAATTCAGTGATTCATCCTTCAACTTAATGCTGCATTTCTGTAATGTGTCAAAAGCTCCGCTGGGCTCTGGGGAAATAGATGAAGTAAGACACAATCACTGCTATAAAGAAGCCTATGGTTTATTTGTGGAGACAGATTTGTAAACATCTGTAACATAAAATGTCATAAGATAGAAACTGCAGAGGAGGCTTTGAAGAGAGATCCTGGGCTCTGTCTGGGTGAAGCAGGGGGAAGTTTCATAGGGGAAGCAGCCTGAGCTCCAAAGAATGAGAGTAGGAAGGTTCCAGGGTGTGGCGTGCATGCGTGCATGCGTGCTGTGTGTGTGTGTGTGTGTGTGTGTGTGTTTTCACTCAGGGATGAGGTACATAGCTTTTTAAGACAATATGCTGTTGAGGGGAACAGCAAGTTGTCCATGTGACTGGATGGTGTAGTAGTAGAATAGGGTGAGGTGGCTATAAGAAAGTATGCTAGACTAATGAGCCATGTTAGCAATTCCACTGCATTAACTTTGTGCTCGTGAGTAGTGTGTGGGAGAACATGAGACAGCACCATGGTCATGGCTTGGTGCGGAAGATAGCTTTGAGTGAGACAGTATTCAGCTCAGTGCAGCCTGCCTGCTGATAATAAGCAAGAGCAGGGAGTTTTGCTCTGGTGAACAGATTCTTCTTGCCTCTGTCCTACACATCTACCTGCAACCCTTCTCCAACAGGCTCTGTCCCTGCAGTGGAAGATACCTGTGGCTTCCTCTCTGCCTGGAAAAAGGTGGGTTCTACTAAAGGAAGACTAGGTAGGAGATAAAGAGAGGGGTATGTGATGTCAAGGTATTTGCTCTCCCGAGTTCTTCCCTGTAGAGTTAGTTGGGTTCCTTTTGTCCTTTGATGCAGTCACACTCCTCACCAGGCAGGCCTCTCTAGCTGACTCTCTCCATCTGAGTTCCAGCCAACCCTTCAGTCCCCACTCCCTCAGGCACAGCTTTTGGACACTGTTATTTCTTATACTCCTCTAGGTACTGGCCATGCCTTCAAGAATCAGTTCTTTTATTCAGTTCTCTTGGAGTTATCCAAACTCAAGTGAGCCACCATTCTGCGGTTTCCTGGCTGCTGCTGTGCAAGCAGGCGAAGAGGTCAAGTGTGCATATCGGCTGTTTGTTCTGTCTTGGGCGGGGAAAAAAGGAATGAAGGCCATAGGGAAATGATAGCACTTGAGACCTGTATTCAAAGAGGTGTCCCAGTTCCTCAGGACCAAGAATGTCGAAGACACTGGTGTAGCATGCATGTTCAAGACATTAAAGGGTAAGATGTCCTACTGTTGTGCTTTGTGGTGATATTGGAACCCTTAGGAAGTGGGGTTTAGAAGGAAGAATTTAGGTCAATGACCATTTGTGCCTGAAGGAGAGACTGAGATTCTGTCCCTTCTCTTTCTTTTTGCTTGCAGTAACCTCTTGGGCTAGCAGCTTCTTCTGCCACATACTTCTACCATGACGTGCTGTCTTGTCACAAGCCCCAAAGCAGGGAGCCAACTTCCAATGGACCCAAACCTCCATAACCAGAAACCCAAATAAATATTTCCTCTTTTTAGGGCTGATTGTCTCAGGTATTTTGCTCAGAAGCAGAAAACTGACTAACATAGATATTCTATCTTGAAGCTGCAGAATGACTGAATAAGCAGGTGAGTGAAGTCACAGTGTGCATGCTGGGAGCAGCAGCTGGGACAGGGAAGGTGGCTGGCAAGTGAGGTGAGGGGAAGCAGGAGAGAGGGACATAAAAGTGAGCTCGGGTTGAGTTGTAAGAGCTTTGATACCTGCTTATGAATCTCTGTTGGACTCTATATGACTGGGGCAAAGGCAGTGCCAGTAATAAAGAGATGGTGATGGAGGCCATGAGCATCTGAAGGCGTTTAGCTTGGAGAAAAGACTGTGAAGTGTAACCATTGGCTTCAGATGTGTGAAGGATCTGGATAGCAATGTGGCAATATGCATCCTGAGCTCATAGCTTTTGGCTCAGAAATTCTGTCTAGGAATTTAGTTCAAGGAAATAATCCAAAATGAGGACAAAACCTTCTGGACAAAAACATTTATTACTGTGTTACTTATAATAACCAAGAGTTAGAAATGAGCTAAATGCCCAGTATCAAGAGAGTGGTGAAATTACAACAGGTCTTTACTGTAGATATTCTGTGATTACTAAAGTATAAAAGCTTTAAGCGTGTGAGAACACACTTGTAATATCATGACAAGTGGAAAAGTAGGATATAAAATATCTTATACAGAAATGATCTCAAAGACATAAAATGATACAAACTAATCATAAATATCCAAGTCTTATGTGGTTACTGCTACTGATACGTTTATGGGTGACTGAAATGGGCAGGTTGTTATAGAGGTCACTGACATAGAAATTGAAACTGGCAGTATCAGTGGGCACCATAAGGGCCAGTATAAAAGTGATGATCTGGACTCCTACCACACAAGGGCATGCGTTTGCTGTTTGTAGTCATCACCAGAGACTACTGAGCATACGCCATGTACATGATGCTTTCCCTAGTAGATTATATCTCTGAATCCTTTAACCCATATGGCAGATTTCAGTTTTAAGTGAATTTATAAGAGGCAGAAGCCACAGGTCTGATAGCTGGAGCAATTGTCCAAGGTCACGCTGCAGATGGGTTCCAGGGTTGGGGCTGAAACTCGGATGTGTTTCGAAACTATGACTGCGCACTTGTAGCTGGTTGCTGCTGCCTAGTTGTATCCAGTCTCCAGTCACACACGACCACCTGGAAGCCTCTCAGAATAAAGAGCCCTGTGGTCAAAATGGTCCGTCTTCTTGGCCCTGTCTTACCAATGGCATATGGAGGGGCCTGGACCTGTATGGATCCTGTGCTTAGGAAAAGCCATCACAGCAAGTGCAGAAAATCCTTTAATAAGCACAAGTGATAAATATTTGCAGAGCCTCATTCAATGTGAAGAAAAATTTCTAAGTTTGTTACATCCATTAACTAATTTAATTCCTTGTTTGTGTGCTTTGGATTTGAAAACAGGATGTAGTCCAGGCTAGCCTTGAACTCATGCTCCTCTTGGCTCCAGCTCCTGAGTGCTGGGATTACAAGTATGTATCAACAGGCCTAGCTCTAGCTGATATAATTCTTTTAACATGCTGTAAGCCTAATAACATTATAATCCTCAGTTTTTACATAGGAAAACATTGAATTTAAGTAAACATTTTCTAAAGGAAACTAAACAAGGTATACATCACGACATAATCCCTGACTGCTATGCTAGTATATGTATAACATAAAGCAAAACAAAACAAAAACAAAGACTAAAAGCCCCCAAAATCTTAGGGAGATAACTATTTTGCTTTAGGGAAACACCTGGTAAACAATTTGGGAATACAGGAACTTGTGAGAACATTGGCAACAGAAGGACAGTCATGATTTCTTACTGGCAGAAATGAGAAGAAATGTGCTTTTTGTCATAGAAAAGGAGAGGGATCAGCCCTGAGTGAGTAATGGCTAGAAAAGCCAGCGCTGTGAGCCTAGGACACTGTCATGGGATTGAGAGAGTCCAAAGGGGATCAGTTAGGAGGCAATACCTTCAATTAGAAGTTACTTGTGTTTAAAATTGAAATCTCTCCCTCTGTGATCAGTAAGTACTGCTATGGCCAACACACGACTAACTGCATTGCTGTGACTGCTGGTGTGACTATTACTTGAAATTGTTAAAGGCTCAGAGGGGCTTTTACTTTGACTCAGTGGTAGAGCACATGTCTGGCATGTACAAGGCCTTGGGTTCGGTTCCTACCAGTGAAAGAAAACAAAGTTCTGCATTTGCATCTGGGTCAATGCCATGCTAAATAGAATCAGTAGTCTTAGAATAAATGTTGAGAATCATATCCCAGACGTGTCTTCCCTCTGAGTTTGCAGATGTGTGCAGGAGGCATCATACTTTCACAGTCTGGGATTACGGGGTCTATCTAGATCTTTCCAGGAATAAAAGCTTCATACTCCATTACAGCTGAGTTAGTCATTTCATCTGTTATAAGTGTTTTCCTGTCCATCTTACTCTGTTTATTCTCTTTTCAATAGAAGTAGTTCAGAGAAGGAACAGACTCAAGTCCATGGTAGTGACAGGGAGAGCTAAGCTTCCAAGCCAAGCCCATGAGCCTCTGTCTGGCTGCTGTCTCCTCAACCCTGGTCTCTCTTCTCTGTTGGAGCTTTTACAGGACCCCCTTGCAGCTTCAGTCGTGGAGACTCTGCTTTTCCAGAGTTGGGATGGCTTAGGTCTCTGTCCTCTGGAGAGCTTTGACAGAAGTCAGCAGTTTAGACTGTCTTACCCACTTTGTTATGCAAAAGAAAAGGCAACTGCCCAGAGTTCAGTGTAGATTTCCCCCTCCCTCCCTTCTTCCTCCTCTCTCTTTATTTAAATGAGTCCCACTCCTTACTTGTATTTCTCTATGGTAAAGCTTTTTGAGGCAATACTTTCATAGTCTTAAAAAATGTAAAAATCACATTTTGTTTTCAATATACACATCTTTAGCAAGGTATGACAGCTCTGTAGAGAAATTCTTATGAGCTTGGAAGCGGATTTTCTTTTAATTTAAAAGTTCCACCTGTTAATTGGCTAACACCTAGAAAATACAAAAAGAGATTAAGGCACCCAGTCTTCAGGAATTTTAGCACCACTAAGAATATCTTTGATGACTATGATCTTTGCATTACTTAATACTCATTGGAAGCCCATTCCTTTCATGGTCATTTGTTTCTCTTCAAGGACCATTTTATTTTCATTTCATTTGCCTCTTTTCTTTAATAGGATTCTTCTTCAGGTTGGAAACTGAGCTCTCTTAAAAACTATGAAAAATGTGACAACCCAGGAAGCTTTGGTTTCCTCACACAAAGCAGTGGGAAAGAAGCCTTACACAGAGAACAGGACAGGTACACCGGTTGCAGTGGTTGATCTGCATTGTCCGTTTGTTAGGATTTACCAAAAACTTATAGACAAACCTGTGGGTGTGACTGTGAGGGTCTTTCCAGAGGGGCTTAACCACTGCCCACTCTGAATGTGGGTGGCACCATTCTTTGGGCTAAGGTTCTTGAATAAAAAGGAGAAAGCCAGTGGAGTATGGGCATCCATCTCACTGCTTCCTGATTTTGGAGCTGAGGGACTAGTTTACTCACACTCCCGCTGCCATGCTTTCCCACCACGGTGGACTGTACCTTCTAAACTGTGAGCCCAATTAAGACCCTTCTTCCCCAAGTTGCCATTATCAGGTATTTTGTCACAACAAGAAAAGTGCATAGTATGTGTGCATGTTCAGGAAGAAAGTCTCAAATTAGTTGCAAATGATTTATAAAACAAAAATAAATTTGTTCCTAAATTGCAGCTGAATGCCATTCGATGTCCAGACATCACAATTTCTCCACCAAGCAGCTGCAGAAGAGAGATGGACACACTTTCTATTGCTGAGAAGAGACATAATAACCACTGCAAATCTTATAAAGGAAAAACATTTAATTGGGTTAGCTTTCAGAGGTTTAATGCACTATCATCACGGTGGGACATAGTGGCATGCAGGTAGACATGGTGCTGGCTACATCTTGATCAGAAGGCAACAGGAAGTAGACTGAGACCCTGGGTGTAACTTGAGCATATATAAGACCTCAAAGTCCCCTCCATGGTGACACGATTCCTCCACTAAGGCCACACCCACTCCAACAAAACCACACCTTCAAACAGTGATACTCCCTTTGGGGCCATTTTTTTCAAACCATCACACCCATGCACTTTGGACAAGCTTAACATCGAGGAAAGAACATAGAAGAGGTGGTTAGATGACCTGTTCTTCTCTTAGTTTGCCACTGATAGGCTTCATAGCCTCTGGAAAATTCCAACAATCTACTATTGGTAAAATAAATGAGGTTATGTTTGAGATAGGGCGTAAAGGAGGCACAGAGGATGAATAGAGACACAAACTACCATATGCCTCAGTTATACCACTCTTGAGTATGCATGTCTAAGGACTTAGAAGAACTGCAAGTCAGTGTACCACAGAGGTACTTGTATATCCATGCTATTGCAGCTGTACTAACAATAGCCAAGTTAGAACCAGCCCAATTGTTCAGCAACAAACAAATGGGTAAACGGTCTGTGGTATGTTATCCAGCCATAAAAAGAATGAAATCATGTTACTCTCAGGAAAAAGGTTGCAACTGGAAACAATCACATTAAACAAAGTAAGTGTGACTTTGAAAGACATATGTTGTCTCTTATTCGTGGATCATAGATTTCATATAAATAGACAAAAATCACATACGCACACTTATATCTATACTTTTAGGAATGAAGGTGACTAGCAGAGGTGGAAAGAAACTGAGAAGGGGAGGGTGTGGGCATGTATTGTTAGAATTCACTGACTTGATACAGTTGCATGCCTGTCTTTAGGAAGCCCTTCACAATGTACATGGATATATATCAACTGGTGTAATAGATACTCCAAAAGGAGATGACTGAATAGGGAAGGCTCAGAGCACTTTCTTACACAGAGTGATGCCAAACCACAGGAGGCTAGGTTCTGGTCCCACATCGTGTCCAGCCAGTCTGGGAGGAGAAAAGGGAACAGGTGTGCTTATGTCTGAGCGATGGAGTTGCACCAAGTTCTCTCCACTCCTCTTTCAGTATTGGGAAGTCCACCTGCCATCACCTAAGTGTTGCGGCCCACAGAGGTAGATCACATCATAAAAAGGTGAATTTGAAGTGAGAAACTGCACTGCTTCAGTCACTGTGACAGCCAGACTTTGCGCTTATAGAGAAATTACAGATGTGCCTCTTAAAACTGAGAGAAGGCCTTTTATGATCGGTTACTTCAATGGCAGTTCTAGAATTTTTATACAGGTTTATTTTTACTAATTGCATGTTAAATACATGCAAATTAACTAGAAAAGTCTTTTTGTTTGTTTGAGGAAAAAAATCAACATCCCAGAAGGAGCCAGAACATATTTCTACTGCTAATTGTGAAATCAGTACTCATTTTTCTTTGTGATTTTTTTTTGAGACAAGGTCTCAGTTAAATTTTCGTGTTTGATAACTGTAGTCATTTCACCTCTATTTGTCTTCTCTCATTCCCTTCCCTCTCTTGCTGAAATGTTTCTCAACAATACTTCCCCACTCCCACCCCCATTTCAACACCTTTTTTTTTGTTTCTGACCCACTGAGTTTAGAGTTTCTTGCCTGAGTAAGGCTGGGAGACTATTTACTGGAGCAAAGAGCAGCAGTCAGAGAAGACAGAGGGTGTTTTAGTTACACTTCCTGCTGTTTTGAAAAAAATAAAAATACCCTGAAGAAAGCAACTCTGGGGGCTGCAGAGATGGTTCAGTGGTTAAGAGAGCATTCTGGCCTTGCAGAGGATCTGAGGTTGGTTCCCAGCACCCACACTGGGCAGCTCCTAACTGACTGTAAATCTTCACCCAGGGAATCTAACACCTTTACCCTCTGAGGGCACCTGCACTCACATGTACACACCTCACACAAACACAGACAGACACACAACTTAAAAAAAATAACAAAATAAATCTAAAACCATAAACTAAAAAAGAGTCACTTCAAGTAAAATGAGTTTATGTTGGCTCACAACGGGAGGTTACAATTCATCCTAGCCAGGAATCTGACTTTTATTACTTAAATATATGTCTATACTTTGCTATCTAAACTGGAAATAAGTTCAATAAACATTTTAACACAATTTATGTGACTCACAGTCAACTAATGACTGACGAGATACTTATAAGTTGCTGTTCTTGTTTGTTTTTGCAGGGTTCAGAACTAACCCAATGCCTCACCTATGCTGGGCCAGCACTCCACTTACGAGCTATGCCATCAGCCTGGCTTACATCATTTTCTCCTGTTATACAGTCCAGGATCCCAACCCAGGGAATGGTGCCACCCACCATTCCTATAGGCATGCCCAGAGGCTCACCTCTCAGATGACTCTAGATCTCATCAAGTGGACATTAACAAACACAGTAAACAAGCATTAAAAAAATCTGATGAGTAGTTTTAAACATTTAGTGTGTGTGTGTTGTATATGTTGGTGCATGAGCACATTGTGTAGGGGCTCCTGCTCCATCACTCACTGCCATATTATCTTGAGACAGAGTCTCTCACTGAAGCTGAAGCTAGGCTGGTGAACAGTAAGTCCCAGTCATCTTGTCTCCCTCAACCTGAGCTCTGGAGTTATAGAAGAACTTATGGCCTGGCTTTTCATATGGGATCTGAGGATTTAAGGTCAGGTCCCCATGATTGCACAGCTGGGTGAATCATGTTTCCAGTCCCTGATAAAATTATAATTCTATGTTGTTGGGACATGGGCTGTAGGCTCTTCTTTGAAGAAATGGAGCTTACACTGCTACCTGAAGAATGCTTTGTGGATATGGGAAAAGCATGTTGAGAAGGTCTGGAAACACAGAGGGCCTGAGTACCCATGAAATGAGCACTGCAGCTGGAGTGTGGCATAGATGATCATCATAGCTGGAGTGTGGCACAGAAGGTCGTTATAACTGTGTTAAGGACAAAAGAGAGGGCAGAAATATCAGAACCAGGAAGGCAGATTGTGTACTGATGTCAAGGGAAAGATGCTGGTGGCATAATGTCTGAGTGGTGCATATCGGGATGTTGATGAGTAGCTCGGACATAGAGGGAGAGGCAGGCCATGTCAAAGAGAATTCCAGGATTGTGGCCTGAGCAGTCATTGTGACAGGAAGCAAAAAAGCATGAGACTGGGGTGTAGAAGATAATTGGTTCAATCTTAATCGTGCTGAACTTTCAAAGCGTCTGGACTGTGCTGGTTGACTCAGGGATGATACATAAGCTTTTGGTCAAGGGTCAGGATTAGGAAAAGGCAAGGCAGTCACACAGTGGACAAAGTTGAAGGATTCGCTCAGCATCCCTTAGGTACAGGGTCAGCTTATGAGACCCTGTCTCCTTAAATTTTATTCCTTAGACAGCTTGCTTGCCTCTGTAGTCTCAGCCCTGTAGTGCAGAGGACAGCATTTTGGGCTGAAATTACAAATCTGGGTACATTGGTGATAGTACAGATATTTGCCATTGTTTAGCTTCCCAGTATTATTTCTACTTCCTAATGAGACTCAGTTTCGTTCTGGGGAACTGTCTTACTCCATTGTGTGTCTTGATGGGACATTGTGAAACAGGTTCCTGCCTCTCATAAAAAATCCTGAAATGGCCCCAGAAGAACGGACTTTGGGTATTTGAACACGAATTGCAACTAAATGACTCAAACAAAATGAGACATTTGAAGAAGAAACTACGCAAATGCTACCCTTTTAAATGCCCTTGCTATCTCACTCTGGTAATTTTTGATACTAATACAAGTAACAACACACGCTACTAGGAGTGTAATAATTTAAGATGCATACGTACTGCCAAAAGCTCTGTTACCCCTCCTGAAATTGTTTGGGGGATGGGGTGAGAGCTGAATAGGGACACAAGGACCAGGTAGGAAGGGGGCACAGTTAGAGTCTTAGAGGAAGATAGCCACCATCAGAAGGGGACCAGAGGCAATGAGGGAAACTGGAGTCTTACTGACATTGTGGAAAACTGCTGGAGGAGATCTCATCTGCAACGAGCTAGAGGCTAGATATGCTACTGTAATAGGCTCCTCAATAAAGGAACCTAAATCAAACAGATGTTCATTTACCCTCACATAACTATCGCAGAGTTTTCCATAAAAAAACATGTGACTTCTAGGTTAAAGGAAATTATCAACCCATTCTTAGACAAAGGGAAGAGGAAAATAAAGCAAGGACAGTAGTCTTTCTCCTCTTTGCTCCTCTCCTCCTCTTCCTCCCCTTCCTCTTTCCTGTTTGGAAAGTGACCTGAGGCTGTCTTCACCTACTTCATAATTTATGTTCTGTTGTATGACCACTCCTAGATGCAAAGAAGGCTGGGAAATCCAGTCTGTAGTGTGCATGGAAGACAATATTCTTACATTTGGGTTGTGTGGAGAGATCTACTAATAAAAAGAAGAGAGGGAGAATAGATTTAGAGGGGTGCAGTGACTAGGTTTTTTACCAAACCAATACATTTTCTTTATCTTTCCACTGAAGCTACCTGGAGTTGGGGTTTCAGTTCCTTGTAATAAAATGTCTCCTAAGGATCCAGGAAGGAGCCCTTGCTCTTCCTACCTTCTCTCCATGGTCTCTATGGGCAGTCCAGCTCTGCACTTGCTGGAATGCAGTTGGATTTGCTAAGGAAAGACCCAAAGAAATACCCTAGGATGACACTGTGTTGCAGCCACTGTTCTAAGTTACTTATTAGCTATATCTTTCAATCCACACGTAACTCTTTCTTTTCTTTCTCTCTCTCTCTCTTTTTTTTTTTTGGTTTTACAAGACAGGGTTTCTCTGTATTGTTTTGGAGGCTGTCGGTCCAGCCCGGCCTCGAACTCACAGAGTTCCGCCTGCTTCTGCCTCCTGAGTGTTGGGATTAAAGGCGTGCTCCACCACCGCCTGGCTCTCTTTTTTCTTTTAATCTCTGAGTTTTGGTGAGCGCAGAATGAGAAGAGTAGTGTTTTACACCAAGTGGTACTACAGTTGCTGGAGCTGCCATTTGAATCCACTCCAACTTAAAGTTGTTAGCCTTTTCATTATGCCATAGGTGCCATTGTAGTACTGAAGTCAGTGAGGGCGTGAGAATTAATGGAGGCATGGGAGATCAGGAATGATGAATAATAGGAAGGTAATGGAGTGAGCACAGGTAATAAGAGGGCCGAGTACCCCCACTTTTGTGCGCGCATGCGTGTGTGTGTGTACGTGCATGTGCATATGCACACGTGTGTATGCATGTGCTCACAGACACAAGAAGGCAGCCAGAAGAAAGACAGACATTAAAAGGACTGGAGAGTCTGTTTAAACAACCACCCACATCCCAAGACTGCACACAGGCTCTTGACTACTGAGAGGAACCTGTTTGCTGACTGGGTATTCGTTTGAATGTAGTTTCTGCAGACCTGAGCCATCCTAGATTTGGAAAACATGGGGAAGCGGTGAGACAAAATGGCTCCATCACCCAAGAGTCTGGGCCTTGATGTGGGAAGCCGCCAAGGCCCGTGTTGGCTGTCAGAGCTGTGGACTAGCTGTTGGGTAAGCCGAGTCAAGGACCTGACAGTACAGGGCAGTGAGCAGGGCAGCAGGGTGGGGAGCAGGGTGGGCGAGCTGGATGTCCAGGAAGGAAAGGCTGCCCTACCCTTTTCTCCCCAGGCTGCAGCAAGGTTGCCTCGCTGTCCCATGCCAGAGAAGGACCTCACACAAGAATTCTATTGTCTGACCTTCAGGAACGAGAGCAAACTTGTTCCTTAACGGGGACAATGAAGATAGCAGCGGCCAAGGACTCAGGACGGAAGCAGGAAGTCCTTGAATGCTCTAAGAACTCAGCACAGGGATTTTGGACAAGGGTTCAGGGAGCTATACTACAGGAAAGGCTGGGCCTGGGAGGAGTGGCAAGCCAAGTCTTCCTGTTAAGTGCCCAACCCCACGAGCTTGCAGGTTATGGCTCCTGGCCTTAGAACTGGAGTGTCCAGCCATATGTCCTTGCAGGCTATGGGTCCTGGCCATAGAGCTTGGAAAAAAAGACATAAAAATGAAAGAAAGGACCTAACTGCTCCTAGTATGGTGGAGCAAGTTTATTGTAGATAAAAGGGGATCCTAGGTAGAGGCAGGAACAAGGACATCTGGAGGAGTCCAGAGTGAATGTGACCAAAGTGAGTTGGGCCTTGTGGGGAAAGGGGGAGGGGGAAAAGAGAAGGGAGAGAGAAGAGAGGGAACCAGGTGTAGCAGCCAGGAGGCCAGAGTTACAAAAGGGTGGGTAACCAGAATGTCTGGATTATATATGGAAGAGTCTCTGGGAGAAGGGCAGCCTAGTCTCTGGGATGGCGAGTTTGGAGTAGAGGGTAGAGTATGACAGTCATATCCTTTAACAGGTAGGGACTGAGGGATGCTGGGAGAACCTGGGGGCCAGGTCTACTTTGACATGTTAAATAGGCACCTCAGCCATTTGTCCCAGGTTTAAAACTTAACAGAACTGGGAGTGTCCAGCCCCCTCCTCCACTCTGAAGAATGACCTCTTCTGAGCCAGGCAGAGTTTACTCTTTCTAGAACAAAATCCCGTTGCCGCCATCCCAGTTCCTGCCTAGTGTGTCATGTCTCCATATATGTCATTTCCTCTCCCATTGTTTTGAGAAGCCTTCCTTGATTATGCTGGACAGTGACATGTCTTCTTTGGATTGAGATCATGCTACTTTTACACTTGTACATTATCTTATATTTCTTAGGTGCTCTGTAAATACAGGCTGACAAATGAAAAGATGATCTGATGATCTTTATCTGCTATTTTTGATAAGGGTTATCGTTAAAAATTAACATGGTCAAACCGTGAATGTTCATGGATGTAATTAACCAGACCTTTCCTTGAAATCTGTGTTTTACTTTTTGTGGCTGTTCTTCCTTCATACAGTATGGTCACCTCACCTCTTTGAACCTGCAGCCAAATGACATGGGGGAGGAATGTCCTGTCATTGGTTCTGAATGTACTCTTCAGCCTTCAGCTCTCTAGATCCTCATCGCTCAGCAAGGAGCTTGGGAACAGTTGCTGCTTAGTCTTGCTCCCACTGGAAAATGCCCTAGGTTGAGGCCTGAAATACCTACTGGGCTCTTGGAGCATTTGCATTTTAAGAGTCACAATTATTGGCCAGGCTTTTTCTGGAGAATAAAATCAAGTTTTAAAGGCCAAAGTGCTGAGTTCTCCAGAGCACAAGAACAAAAGGCCCAAAGATCCTTTGTTCAGTTTCCTTAGAGAATCCTAGTTCAGCCTTGCATCCCCCATCAAAACATGAGCAATGAAAAGATGGGAGTGGGGTGGATCGTAAATACATCGCTAAGCTGAAGAAGCCAATCTGCTAGGCTGCAGGCCATGCCATGTGCTTCTCACAAAATGACATATGTCCTTGTAGACACAAAGCAAAGGCAGTAAAAACACCAGTGGTCGTCTG